TGAGTGAGTGAGTGAGTGAGTGAGTGAGTGAGTGAGTGAGTGAGTGAGTGAGTGAGTGAGTGAGTGAGTGAGTGAGTGAGTGAGTGAGTGAGTGAGTGAGTGAGTGAGTGAGTGAGTGAGTGAGTGAGTGAGTGAGTGAGTGAGTGAGTGAGTGAGTGAGTGAGTGAGTGAGTGAGTGAGTGAGTGAGTGAGTGAGTGAGTGAGTGAGTGAGTGAGTGAGTGAGTGAGTGAGTGAGTGAGTGAGTGAGTGAGTGAGTGAGTGAGTGAGTGAGTGAGTGAGTGAGTGAGTGAGTGAGTGAGTGAGTGAGTGAGTGAGTGAGTGAGTGAGTGAGTGAGTGAGTGAGTGAGTGAGTGAGTGAGTGAGTGTGTGTTTGTGTGTGTGTGTGTGTGTGTGTTTCTCACCCATGTTCCATGTTCCGATGAAGATGGAGATCATGTCTGGCTCGTCCTGATTGGAATGTTTGTTCTTCATGAGTTGCAGCAGTTGGCAGAATGCTTCCCTTTTCTACAGAACGAGAGACAAGCGATTAATCAGTGGTGTGAGTGTACATACAGATTAATCACACACTGTATTGAGTACCTGTAAAATCTGAATTCAGAAATGCCCGTGTTAATCTGAGTGACTTACTTTTGCACTGGCAAAGATGAAATCTTTCCTCTGGCTTTTGTCTTTTTCCTTCTCAAAGACGATTCCGAGTTTATTCTGAACACGCTGAGACTTTATCAGCTGCCGAACTACAAACACAAACATTCTCTAAACATGATTTCATCCTGTGACAAAGCCTGTGAACAGCACAGACTCAATACTCATCATCATCAGACTCACTCTTGTCGTGTGTGAACGTGTTCCAGTCTTCCTGCGCGTCCTTCATCTTCTTCATCACCACCAGTTTTCCTCCCTCCACGTCCACACTCAGCGAGTATTTCTGGCTCTTCCCGATCTTCGTCAGGTCGGCCAGATACACGTCCAGTTTCACCTGAGACACACACACACACACACAAACGCTGCTCTGACTGCACTGATTATTGCTCGGAATGTGTATGTTTGTGTTTGTGTGTGTGTGTGTGTGTGTGTGAGAGTGTATGTGTGTGTGTTTGTACCTCGAAGGTCTGCACAGGAATAGCTTTGTGTCTGATGGACAGCAGTGGTGAGATGTTCGGAGTAGATGAGCTCATGTCCTGGAGAGCCTTCAGAGCCTGAAACAGTGTGTTTTCATCGTCATCATTTGTGGACAGAATATTAACGTACTATTAAATGCACAATTAGTGCAAAGAAGAGGAAGTGTATTTATAAAAATGAATGAATGCACGAATGAATGAATGAATGAATGAATGCACAAACTAATCAATGAATGAAAGTACAAATGAATGAATGATTGCACAAATTAATGAATGAATGCACGAATTAATGCATGAATGAATGCACAAACTAATCAATGAATGAAAGTACAAATGAATGAATGATTGCACAAATTAATTAATGAATGCACGAATTAATGCATGAATGAATGAATGCACAAACTAATCAATGAATGAAAGTACAAATGAATGAATGAATGCATGAATGAATGCATGAATGAATTAACAAATAATAGTAACAAATAAATAAATAATACATTTTATTCATTATGTGCCTTTCTCATACCCATTTAGCAGACACTTTTATCCAAAGCAACTTACAATGAAGGAACAAAAACAATTTGTCAGAGCCAAGAATTTTAGTAATTATTAGTAATAATTAGTGCTGTCAAATGATTAATCACATCTAAAATAAAAGTTTTTGTTTACATAATAAATGTGTGTACGGTGTTTATTTATTATGTATATATAAACACACACATGCATGTATATATTTAAGAAAAATGTTGTTTATATATAAAATAATAATATTTATATATAATATAAATTATATTTGAATAATATATATATACACGTGTACATATTAAAAAAAATATATATACATGTATGTTTGTGTATTTTTATACACATAATAAATACATATATTATTAAATATTTCTATTTTTATATATATTTTGTAAACAAAAACTTTTATTTTGGATGCGATTAATCGCGATTAATCATTTGAAAGCACTAGTAGTGATAATTCTTTTTAATAATAATTTTGTAATAATTGAATATATAATTATTTAAGAAATAATAATAATTTAATACATAAGTAATAACAATTAATAATAACAATAATAATATTCTAAGAAATATAATACTAAATAATCATTACAACAATAATAATAATAATAATAATGACAGAAAAGAACATTAAAAAAATTGTATGATATACTCAAACACTCAGTATTCGTGATATAGTCGGTGAATAATTATCAGATGACATCAAGATGTGAGTTTTCCATCAAACTAAGTACATACTTTGAAATACAGAAATTTAGGAGCAGCCAGTGATTCTTTGGCTCTAAAATAGCATGTGATGGAACTATTGATACGTCTGATGTATTTAGCTGTGTGTGTGTGTGTGTGTGTGTGT